TGCAAAAACTTTTTTTTTTTTAATTGCCTCTTCAAAACCTTGGTGTGTCTTATACTCCAGTGCATCTTATACTCCGAAAAATATGGTAAATAGGCAAGTAGTTGAACTAAGGTTCTCTTTCAAGTTTTTTCTTCACAGATCAAGAAAACCAATGTAATCTGAATGTAGCATTACGTGATTGGAGAACAGACACATTAATCACTGAATCCAGTTCATCTCTCCTCATCCATTTAGTGCACTAGTATACAATAGCACATTACTTTAATCAAACAGCATTGCACATATTTTTTTCCACTTTTCTCATGTGGAGACAGAGTTTGTTAGAGGGTTTAGAATGAGGGATAAGGCATATTAGGGACTTCTGTCCTATTTCAATTAATGTGTTAATTTCAATATGGCACCTCAAGGTGAAAAATCATACTGAATTGCTTCCCCCCCCCCTCCCGGATTGTTGTTGAATCAGAACTCAGCTTTATTAGTTAATTCTTCGAGACATGAATGATACTAATGATTGATTCTTTTGATTATAGGAGGAAATAGCCAAAGACCTTTTGTCAGGAGATGATGAAGAAACACAGTCTTCTGCTGATGATTTGACACCATCGGTTACTTCACATGAAACAACAGATTTTTTTCCTCGGCCTTTAAGATGTAAGGAAATATAATCAGTATCCCAAATTAGCTATATTAAAATTAGAGAGACTGTTAGTCATTTGTTTTGGTTTGAAGAACAAATTCTTCTGGATTTGTTGCATGTAAAAATAAAGTTAAGAATTTAATTGGCAGGGTTCTAACATGGTCCAGAGTGAAGCTAATCAAAAGGAAAGAACTACTCCTTTAGAGAATTATGATCCTATCTATGGTAACCAATAGTTCTGTGACAAGAAAACCATGCTGTTTAAAAATGAATATCAACTGAATTTTTTTCTGGTTTTTCATCCAATTTCAGTCCTTTACAATACAATACAATAGCAGAGTTGGAAGGGACCTTGGAGATCTTCTAGTCCAACCCCCTGCCTAGGCAGGAAACCCTATATCATTTCAGACAAATGACTATCCAACATCTTCTTAAAG